GGTTACTTACTCTACAAATGCCAAGAAAATTGGGAAATTTCACCTAACTGTAATCGTAGTAACAAAAATGACAACAAATATTTTCAGAAAAAATTACCCTATTATGTCAATTAATATAATATTATGATAATTTACGAATTATTAAAGCATGAAAGGTCTTTGGGAAAAACACTGCACACGAATTACATTATTTCAATTATTTTCATGCTGTTTAAACATTTCATGATCGTTCATATTTAACGTTTTAGGATAAAAAAAAAAAAACATCAAAACAACGCTCTCGTTCACTCACGAATATTAAAGAAGTAACGCACATCTTCACAAAATTCAATAGTTTTACAAATCCAAACAAGATACCCTAGTTCATAAAAATAATTATAATAATCAATGTATTAAAGCTATTTTCACGTTCTACATCATGAATTCACTATATTTCTTTATATTGGATTTATTTAGCGGGGCAATGGTTCATCTCATTGTTTCGACGATATTTCAATCGCCCATCATTCCTCTCCCCAAAAAGCCTTGTGCCGCACAATTTCCTTCTCCGTCCGGTATTTTCAGTTGTTGTTAGAAACAAAGGCCGAACTTTTCTTAAAAATCGAAGTACATCGTCAGCAGAAGGTGCCCGAAAAATGGTAATTGCTTTCTTCGCGAGAGCATACGCCCTGCGTCTATTTATAATAGTGCCCATACGTAAGTGTGGCAGGGCACAGAAATAGCAATGTAGGTAGTCGACGTCAAGAACGTCAACAGTAAGCATATTGCTATTGTTACCGTGAAACTGACGAATTTATAAGCATTCGGTATTTTTAAGCGAGATAATTCACATAAACGAAATTATGAGTTCTATCGCTATTAGTGGGCATTTGAAAATGTAAGTTCCCTATCGATTGGTTGAATGCTTATTGCTATTTTGACGTTTTAATAACTTCGTGTCAACGATAAAAATGCCGATAACATTTTATTATAAGAAAAATTCTCTCGCGCTCTAACTTCACCGAAACTTTAATATTCACAATTTTGATAATCGAAACAAGTATTTTATAAGGCATACTATTTATAACATAAATCTCAATCTTCATTAAACGTATATTAAAAAATGTTCATGGGAATTTTTCATTGGAAATAATATTATTATATTATTTGACATATCGAAAAAAAAAAAAAAAAAAACAATAAAAAACTGAACTATCACTATAAATTAACAATGTAGTCTTACCAATTATATTAAATAGTACCTATTTATATTGAAATTACTAGAATTATTAAATTCATAACAAGTAATAAATTATAAATATTAAATTGCTAGAGTTCGGCGTTAAAGGTAATGTAAGCATGAACTGACTCGGCAACAACACAATTCTAAATAACTATTTCCTTATGACGTGATAATCATTCAAAGTTTATTTACTTTTTGATCATGAGTTTTGGCCGTTAAATGATTCAATACACTAGAAAATAATGATTTCTTACATAATTGACCGATTCGAATCGAAAAATTCGCAATCAAGTGTATAAAATTACACGAGCCAATACTTTATTCCGAGATAACAAAAATTTCACTTCTATTATGCATAAAACTTAGCGTTTGATAATTTATATGTGGTGTGCACGATATTTTTCAAGCGAACAAACGTCCCTAAACGTTCCTAATGAAACAAGAGCTGAAATGAAATTCAGGCTAAATCTTACGTAAGAAGCCAGTCTTGATTTAATGAGTGGATGAGCTTTCGACTTGGGCCTCGTTTGGAATTTATCATTAATTTGTAATGGCGTGGAACATCGCTTTTACGACAACTCAATCAATCACTACGATAATCACTTAATGCAAGAGCAGCCAAAAGCATCGCTTTCTTAGAAAAATGAGTCTCTTATTACAAAGGGTTTTTTTTTTTTTTTTCAATCTCGGAGAGCCAAGGTAACAAGTATATAAAAAGTAATTTAAGTTGGCAAGGAGTGCTTGCCCCGGTAGCAAAATCCTTAAGCTTCGCAATCGGTCCCAATTCCGCCAGCAGGTTTTCTTTCGCCTAGCGCTCGAGCAAAAATTCATTATATCATACGCACAAAGAGCGCGTGCAACTGAATTGACGCGAAAGTAAGGATGAATGATAGGATGGAGGTGGTATCCAATGCCGGCAGGAATCTATATGCCCGCGACTCACTATTTACCTCCTTAACTGGCTTTTACGTACTCTTAGTTCATCGGAAGGGGGGGGGGAGGAGGAGGGACGATCAATCGCCGGAGGCATTTATGGTATCGTCATACGCTGGGATGCATATTACCAAGACTGTCGTGGCAGCGGCGCTTGGTGATGCTGCGGCTTCCATTATATTGCTCAGACTGCACTATCCTCACCACGTGAGTCTCCCGTTATCAGCGTGTCTACGCCAGCTCTTCATTGTTTCCCGTGAAGGTACACGCAACCCTTCGTATACACCCCATCCCCCACCATCCCATCCCATCCCATCCCATCCCATCCCACCCCGTCCCATCCTTTTCAGAGCATTGCGCGTGATAACGTGCATAATGGCCAGGCGTGGGGTGGGCTAAAAAGAAGAAACCACACAGGTTGGAAAAACGAGTCCTTTGTCTCGACTGTCAAGGCCTTTTTGCTTCCCTGCCAATAATTGTATTTCTTTGGAGATTTAAATTAATCCCTGCTCTACGTCCTCTTATGACAAGATCACTCCGGCATTACGGCAAGGAGGGAGATATCATTGAATCCCGGCATACGCGCCTTAATCGAATAGAATATTCGGAATTTCAATGAGATCGACAATTCCTCTTGACAATATTTTGCATGGATATTAATATTCCTCCTTATTATCAAGATATTGGCTTGACATTACGCTTACATATTACTTTAACATTGTTATATTTATTTAATTCTATATTTGCTGCCGTGACATTTCAGCATACTCTTATCCGTCTATATTTATGTAAAAAATTTCATAATATTTTTACCTTCTGTATTTCGTCGAAATTGCGTTAAATGAGAAACATTAGCTCGTATTAACAAAAATTAATACAGTAGTTATCTTGAAAATTTAACACTTTTATAATGAGGAGCATTATCTTGAAACTTAATTCGGCACAACTGTTGGTGTCGCAACTGAAAATAAAAATGAAATAACAACTCTGCAACGAAAATTACGTCTTTCGAAACTATTACAATATCTGTGCACGTTGATACGATAAAATATATTTATTCAATTTTTTTTTTAATATTTAATGAATTTTGTATAAAAACTGATCTACTCAATTGCTCTCAGATTTAATCAACGACAAGCCCAAGGTTTTACTTCGACGTCTCTACCTGCACTTATGGTTTATAATTTCTAGTTTATAATAATATGAAAATATATAGAAAATATACGTATAGAACAAGGGATGTAGATAAAATATTTGATATTCATATTATGTATGGAGAATGAAACTAGCGAGTTTTCTTTGTGACCTTCAAAAAATTCTCAAGCTTATTATACATTATTATTTTACCCATCAATAATTTACAATGGTACTCATCATTTATTCAAAAATTCAATAAATTATAATATTTGAGTTATATATATATATATATATATATATATATATATATGTTTATATTTATAAAAGTTATTTGCGCGCACCCATGCACACATACACAAATCCACCCACCTATACACACATAAATAAATACATAAATTCATATTTAACTTTATATTATTATAATAAGTCAATCTATACATTTTTTTTATATCACACTTATAAGCAAATAATTATAAAATAAAAAAAAAGTTAATTTTATTTGTGTAAATAAAATTAATCGAACATATTTTAAATTTGTAAAACTTTTTTTATAGCTATATTTTTATTAAATTATTATCTTGCAACAGTCCATATATATATAAATATATTTTATTTAGACAATATGAATAAGTAATGTGAATTATTTACATTCTAATTAAAAATTAAACAGAATTCAGGTATATATCTTATTTATATGAAAATGATATATATAAGGAAAATTCTTTTACGAACTACAGACTATTTTTATCTTTTATGCAAAACTTATTCAGTCGTCGTAAATTTAAATTATCTTTGAATGTTACGAGTGTTTAACAAGGCCTTATTAAATAATTAATTATTGAAAACCTTTATGCTCTTTCATAAAATGTATATGTATATATATATATATATATATATATATATATATATATACACATGTTCTGCCACAAATATTAAACAAATCAAAAAGGCTGAATAATAAAAAAGAAAGCGTAATCAATGGTCCGTAATGATCAAGTTTTGTGCCTGTCTTCATTTTTCAATATGAAATTCAATATTTTTTGCAAACTTTTTGATAGTTTTGAATATTATATTAGATAAATTATATTCCAGTTGTTTAAATACCTGAACAAAATGAGTGATATTTGATATTTATTCAGTGAATGACATACCATAAACATTTGTTTCTTTAGCTTGATTTTCATTTCACATGGTCTGTCAAATAAAATTCACTTTGTTATCGTTATTTCATTGTTATTTATAAGAGATAAAATTCATATCGTGAAAACAGGATAAAATAGTATTAAGCCTAAAAATCACTCGACCATTTGTTTTTAAGAAGATAACGGTTTTATTGAATCGGCTTTTAAAATTATGCGCTAAAAATTCATTTGTGGGCCGAATACAGCTAATTACATTAATGTAAAAATGTAAAAGAAGCTATGATTTCTGATAAATTACTCCATTCTATTCCCATGAATTGATAAATTTTCATCACATGTAATTCTATTTATATTACGAATAAACTAACTGCAAAATAATCCTATCATCCTGACGCTTCCATCACCACAACTTCCAAGTACCCTTGTTTCGCGTCCTCGTCCTTCCTCTTGTTCCCTTCTATCAAGCATTAGAGGCAAGTCTGATACCGTTCAGCCTACATAACCAACATCTCCCGATCTCGATATATCGATAGCCTCGACAGTGACTGTGGCCACCTTCTGTATAGGCGCTGCCCGAGATCCAAGCGGCCCCGACAGTCGTTGCTCCTCCTCACCATCTCCATCTTCGTCGCCGGGACCCCAGCAGCAGATCCGTATCCAGCATAGCCAATCGCAGCAACAGCAGCAGCAACCGACTCGTGTAGCCTCGAGCTCCTCATCCGGGCGCTCGGGGGACAGTGACGACCAGGCGCCGCTCCAATCGGTCAAGAGCGAACGCGAGGCCACGGAGGAACGTCCACGCGACAAGACGGGCACCGGAGGTGGCCGCCGCCTCGCCGGGATCCTCGCCACCCACACGAGGCTCAAGCGGCTCCTCGGAACCCTCGTGCATTTCGCCATGGACATATCATCGGACACCGGGGAGGCGGTGCGCGCTCTTGTCCTTGGCCTCCTGGTGCGTTCCCTCCTCATTACTTCATGATTCAAGCGTTATTCATAGTTTTAGCTAAGGTCGTATGCGAAGGTAAATTTGCCTTCGCTCATTAATTCTTTATATTAAAATTATATCTTCATATAATTAATGCATTATATGAGCTTCTTCGTTTTATTAAATTTATAAAATATGTATTGCCAAGCGATCACAATAATATGTAATTTTTAAATAGTTTATATCATTTTTACGGAAGAAATGATTAATAACAGAATATCGAATGATCGTTGTGAAACGTAAATTTCCAATACGGTTCGATAAAATTTTGCATTTTTTATTTTATTTTATTTTATTTATTTTTTTTTTTTTTTTTTTTTTTTTTTTTTTTTTTCATTACTCGAATAATTAATTAATACATCTATAGCAAAGTTTACAGAATCTGCTGTTCCGATCAACTTTCTCAGCTGGATTGCGTCAATCCAAATTTCCAATACTTTAATACATTGTTTGCAACTCAACGCAAATAACTAAAAATATTTCATTACGGCATAAAATACATTGTGATTATTTAAACTTATAAACGTAATAGAAGAAATGTATTTAATTCAGTTACCTCCCGTAATCAGGATTTTCGTTATACCGAATGGGTTCTAAAGTTTTTTGTCACATACATTCCAGAGCGGATCCATGTCCGCTGAGGAATTTCACTCGGCTCTACAAGAGGCAACGAATTTCCCTCTCCGTGGATTTGTCCTACCGTACCTGAAGCACACTTTACCACCCTTGCAACGAGACCTGAGTGCAGCTGCTAGAGCTGATAATCAAGTGAGTAAAGACGAATTTTAATTAAGTTCCCTAACGTCTACTAATTAATATAACGAATATTAACTAATCGCGACAATTTACTTATATTTCGTGAATATAGAGACGAAATTGACCCTTCTACGAATTCAATGATGTGCAAATCGAAATTTCACAAAGCACGAAAATAAAGAAGATCCGAATTGTTTGATGGGAATGAAATTTTGCATTAAGTAAAGCATTGACAAGAGTGGCTATGTAATTGAAACATTTTTCCATTTAATCGAGAAAGCATGTAATGATTTATTAAAACTTTTTACAATTCTTGCACCATATATTTTGCGAATCCTTCTATTTGTAATTTATCGATCAATTTTAGATAAATATTTGCGATATGATTAGTATAATTGTAGCCATAAAGTTCCCATAACATATATTAAATAGCACGTGAGCTTTGGCAAATATAAAAATATAATACGTACGTATTAACATATTTTTGAGGGGCATTTAAGGGGTAAAAGAAAGTAAGAAGAATAAAAACTAATAAGGAGAAAATTTAGCTTAAGTTAAACAATTGTGATTTATCGGCAATAAAATTTGTCATTTTCCTTTACTTTCTTTTTCCTTCTCGCTCACCGCCGTCCCTCGATATAAGGAGAAAATCTTCGATCGACCGAGCCACGACTCGGCAACTATAGTATAAAAGCGAGTGGTTAACCCACAAACGGTTGATGATAAATACTTTATTGCGCTGGTCGCCTGAGTCATAAATCATTGCGCAACGAGTGCAGTTTGTTGGCGTAGCGTGAAAAAAAAAAACGTTAATACAACGTTTAACGTCACGATCTTATACGCTCGTTTAGCTAATTTTCATTCACCGCGATATATCTCATCCGATGTTCAATTGTCGATAGAACGTCACATCCTTACTGATTACCGTCCTCATGAATAATGGAGGGTGAAAAGTTGCTTTTCTTTACGATGGGGCAACAACGCTCATAATTAAATGCTCAATGCAAGTATATTCATAATTCTTTTTCTTATCTTAAAGAACGAGGAATAATTACTAATGAAATGTGCGTTCAGATAAAACGGCATTATTTATTAGCCTTAAATTATCAATCGTAATGAATTGCAGTAAAATTAATATTGCCTACGAAGGATATTTTAAAAAGTGATGATAAAAATTATAAATCTACTTCTAATCATGCGTATATTTATAAAAATCTTCGTTGAATATTTATTTATTCTTATTTAAACGCGCGCGAGCACGCACACACATTTATATATAGAAAATATTATAAAGATAGAGAATTATTTAATAATTTCTACCAACTACTCGTCACAAAATCATAATCATATTTTTTTCATATGGCTAATTCACTAGGATGTATTATTATATATTATTTAAAAATAGTCATAATGTAAGATTGACAATTCTGATAAAAATTACTTTTTCATAAAAAAATAATTAATTAGATTTTCATAACAGAATTTTTTATGCGTTTGAAATATGTAAGCGTGTGCACAAGAAAGGAAATGTTATTTTTATTAGAATACATCAAATGAACACACGCACACAAACGCAAACGCATAGAAATTGCCGTTAATGTATTAATAGAACTTTAACTAATCGGGCTTTGAACATTGTATACATCATTCAAAAGCTATAAGATAGTGATTGCAGTTTGAATGGAAAAGTGACGACGAGAAGCGAAATATCAGCGAAATAACATCAACAGAGTTTTTTTATTTTAACTTTTCGGTTAATAAAATAAATTTATTAATAAAATGAATGTAAACTAATTGTGTAAAAGTTGAAAATTGATTTAATGTTATTCGCTTTCCTCGTTTCAAGGCATTTGCAATTAAATACTTAATAATGAATTTTTTCGCCATTAAATAAAGCAAATGAGACTTTTGGCAAACTGCATTTCAAAAATTACATATAATAGTGCAGTTTAATCAATTTTCTCAATCTGATTGAGGTGGTCGGTACAATAATTATTTTATTTACTAAGGCTTTCAAGTGCCAGGACTCGTACTAGTGTACAGCACACGCACACGCATGCATTTATCGAACTATTATTAAACCGAAACAATTATTATTTGCTATTATAATGATTATTATTGAAAGAATTTCTTTAGAGAATCTATAATTCATAGGTACATCTCGTACCTATGAATACTCTATGTTTGAAACTTATTTCTTTAGAGAAAACAAATTTAAACCTAATGGTAACAAAATTTTAAAATCACTGGAAATATGCGATTAAACGTTATTATAACGATAATACATACGGTTACTTATAGCAAGTATAATGTATTTTAAATTCAGTTTTTTTTTTTCGTTCATTTTGCTAGAACTTTGATAGACGAAATTGTTCACGAAAGTTTGGAAGATATTAATAAATAAGTAATTAATTATAAGATAAAATTTAAGATTAATTACTATTTATTAGAGCATGCAATTGTCAAACTTTTTGTAATAATAATTTCTTTTTTTTTTAGTATGTAACATTAAAAATTTCTTTAAACATTAATAAAGTATATTATTTGATTAAAAAACAATTTTTTTTAATCAATTTCATGTGCTTTTAAGAAATTATGTTTGATTATATGAATGAAAAGTTGAAAAAGCTTTAAAATATAAAGTATTATTACACTCTATAACCTGCTATTATGCTCCTTTTAAACTTATACCATTAAGAGTACTAACTTAAGAAAGAGCAATAGTTCTATTTTCAATTTTGTTCTTATAATTTTAATGCGAAGATAAATTGCATAGAAAATGGTATTTTATAAAAGGAAAGAAATATTTGAATATAGAAAAGATAATAACCTTTGAATTATAGTAAGGGATATACTTTATTGCTTGCTCGTCCAGCTGTGGCTTTCTAAAGCTTTCTAAGTGTTATAATAAATTCAAGTTTCATAAAAATAATTCAACTTTATTGATTAGTAGGCTGGAAATAATTCTTATTAAATTTTCGGAACAATGATCACAATGATCATACTAATTGTATTAATTAAGCGAATTAAATGCTTCTATTTATTGAATATAATGCATGACTAAACGGGATTTAATGAATTTATACGGCGAATAGGATGATCCACAAACTAATAAAGTTTGTGCTTTTGACTTTGTGCAGTGGTAAAGTATGTAATTTTTTTTTTTTTTTTTTTTTTTTTTTTTTTTTTTTTCACTAGCAAGACCGACTTAATCAGCATGCGGAGTTTCTCGTTTCTCGATACGACCATTTGGCAAGATGTTACTCGAGATGTTCGGATTGCGACAAACATGCGGAATATAATGATATTCGTACTTCTATGATGTCAAGTGTATAATGTGCATTGGTTGCTCCATGTTCCCGCAAGATCGGGCTCCTCGGCTATTGAAGTTCATTGTCTTTCGACGCGACAGTCTGTCCTCGAACTTTACAACTTCTTATCACGGCAAAAATTCTTAGCTCCCAAGACAAATAATACAGCCGCGTCTCATTATTGTTCAAATTATCGGCAAAATCTGAAATTAAAGCTTACTATCAATCACATTATTATATTCAATGCATATATTTATTATTCCTTTTAATTACAATATCAATACTTTGGTCTAAAGGTCCTCTGCAACACAAATTGCTTTATATTTAAAGCCAATATAATTAATTAATTACTAGAAGAACTTATTATAGAATTATTTATATTTATGTAATTCCACCGTGAATGGACAATTATTATGGGAAATTGAATTACATGTAAAAGCCTAATACTTAATAGCAATGTGTGCGTTTAGTTTAGAGAATTAAGTTACGACAAAGGACAGCATTGTGTAATTAAAAATAATTACAAGTATATTATAACTTGATGCGTTGCACTTTTCTCAAACTATTTCTGCTATAAGCTATTAGAGTTGAATTAAAAATTAAAAACTTGAGAAACTTACAAAATACTCGGTAAATACGAACTCTGTATAAATTATTTTGCAGTTGACACTGAATTGTCTTTTAGTTTGTGTTGCCGTGACGGATATCGAACGCTATTCTTTCGTCATGAAAAACACTGATGTCCTTACAAGGCTCAAGCCATTCGGCCGGAAACTTTCCTGAATTAACGACTAAATTATTCCAGAATCAGACTGGAAACCAATACACGTGTAGCTATTTTCGAGACTATCGAGCAAATAACCAAACTATATATTAAATTAAAATGTTCACGTTCGGAGTGGTTTGTTTATTTGATTATTATCGTATCGCTTGATTTCAATTGCCAATTTTTAATAATAATTCTATCTATAGGAGTCTTGTCTATTACACGCTGCATGCACGCCTTTAGCGCATCCATGGAAGTGAATTAAATAAAAAAATTCATTCAAATCTTTACGAAGATTTTGGCATAGAAATCAATTGTAATAACTATCGGCTCTCGTCGCTTTACTAAAGCACATTTGGAGCCAATTTATAACTAAAGACTATTTGTTCGGCTTTTCGTCAATATTCTCTTCATTGGAAAACTTACGGTCAATCAATGTTCTTAGTTCGGTTATCATTCTCCACCAACGTATCCTTATCTCCTCAGTGAGTCTTCACTCTATACAATAGTCGGCTTGCGTCGGATAATAAAAAAACTTTGGCGCGTCTATCATCGTCGCAGTGATGAAATTCGATTTAAATTCGACGTTGAAAAGTAGGAGAAAAGGATAATAAGCTCGACGCACGACGATTATCTAACAGCACATGGAATATCAAACTTATAAAGCACTATGTCACGGAATATTGATAAGCTAAGCGAGAAGTTGGGTAATATCAAAGGGATGGGGATGGGGATAGGGGGAGGCGGGTGTAGCCTCTGGAGAGGCTCGGTCCATCTGGACGTCACTTATCGGGCGCTCGCATGGCCAGCGAAGAAATGACGTAACGGCGCATCGCCGGGCCACGAAAACGTAGCCAAGCCCGGAAAATCCGGCGCCGCCGGCAAAGTAATTCGATGGCGCGCCAGGAAGAAGTAAAACACGATGGCTCCCGTGTTTGTCCCCTTGCCGTGCGCGCCCGCAGCCCCTCGGCCCGTTACCATAAATCTGCATTTATAAGCGCTCGCAGGGGACGAGGTCCGGTTCACGCGAGGCGG